GAAAATGGTATCAAGGGGTGCACCTATACAAAATAGCTTTACATCTGGAATTCATTGTTTAACTCCATATAGTCGTACAATGTTAATTTTGTAAGAATTTTCCCAACGTTCTTGCTGAACCAAGTGTTTATTTGTTTGTTTTCTGGACACTTTTTTCTAGGTGTCTTTAAGCCAAATGAATGTAACTATCAACCACGTATTTTCTGGGACCAAGGGCTGATGGAGGATTTGTGTTGACCGTCTTTTTCCTGTATTTTATGATCTAGGAAGCAGAGATTATTTTGGATGCGCGTATTGTTCGTGTAGAGACATGTTTGTCTGCTCTCTTTTATTGCGTTTGAAAGGTAGTTTAATTATTGTTGTACTATTCTAGGGTTTTACAACATATGCCGAGAGGAGGATTGTTGAAGCTGTGCAAGGGGAAGACAGAGCTGCATTGAATATTGGAATTGGTTGGAGGGGCTTAAATGATGAAATGGAGAGGTTTAAGGACAACATGGAGTTTACAAAACTCAAAACTAACCAGGAAGGAATAGACCCTGATGCTGTATATTCCCAAGTTCCATACGAAAAGGGTTTTCAATTCCTTTGGCGCATTGAGCGCGAGGTAGTGGAATTTTTCTTGGGTCCCTTTCGAGATAATCATTTTCTAACATGAGCTCTGATTTTCAGTGTTTCTCTTTGGACATTTTAGATCGGGAGGCCTGCTTTTGATGAATTCATCAAGAAATACATTGCCACTTTCAAGTTTAAATCAATTGATACTGACACATTTCTGGACTTTCTGAAATCTAATGTTCCCGGGATAGAGAAAGATATCGACTTGAAGTTGTGGACTGAGGGTACTGGTATTCCTCTGGATGCCCATGAGCCAGTTTCGAATTTATATACAAAAATTGTGTCACTAGCAAATGAGTTTAAGATCGGGAGGATGCCAAGGGAGGAAGAAGTTTCTGATTGGCAAGGACAAGAATGGGAGCTCTACTTGGAGAACCTGCCAAAATCGGTTGAAGCTTCTCAGGTAGCTTTATTTTCTTTGAGTTTCAAGCATATTTCTTTCAGGCATTTTCAAGATAAATTGGCATTGATTGTGGAGTGGACCTTTCATAAAACAAGATTTCACAAGATCAGTAGTAGAGATCAGTTAATCGAGCTGATAATTTAAGAAAAGATTTCCAATGTCAAAATAGTAGCTGGTGTCTAATGACCCGATGTCGCATTCTAAAATTTGATTTATTATACAGGTCTTAGCTTTGGATGCACGGTACAGGCTGTCGGAATCCAAGGATTATGAGGTTAAAGTAGGGTTTCTCCAACTAGCAATTTCATCGAAGTGCAGAGATTACTATGGTGAAGTGGAGAAGACACTAAAGGAAGTTGGGAGGATGAAGTATCTCCGCCCGCTCTACACTGCTCTTGCACAAGGAACCGAACGGGAAGAAGAGAAAATTCTTGCCAAACAAGTGTTTTCAGAGGCTTGCGAGTGTTACCACCCTATAGCGCAAGGTGTTGTCGAGTCAATCCTTGCCAAGCACCTGTAGTTACATAACAACATAAAATAATATGTAAAACCTAACCCTGATCTTTGCCATCGACAATTCTGGTCTTAGAAACCTTGTAGAATGATACGGTTGAATGGTAATTTGTGGATGGATGCGCCCCGCATATGCCATGTTACAATGGCATATGCTTATGTGATGCTTGTTGAAATATCTTAGTTGCATACCCCTGGCTTTCTGCTAACTAATCATCTCTCTTTCCATTTCCTAGCATGATGGGAGAATATAGTTATGGCCTATGATGTCTCACCCTTAAATTTATCCTGTCCCGGTTTCATCACACCAAAATCTTCAGGTACTTTTAGCTCTCTTGTTTCTGCTCTGGTGGCATTTTTTCAAATCTTTAGAATTCCTACTTAAGACTGATGCCTTAGGGGTTGACAAGAAGTTAAACTTGCTTTTAGTGCCTGGTATAGTGAATGGCACCAATATCAATGCGTTATATATGGTTCCATGCTGTCTGTCTTTTCAGTTTCAAGCAAGTTATATATGGTTTCATGGTATATAGGGAGAATTATATATCTTAATACCCATAACTCATTACCCTGCAATTCCACGACTGTTGTTGTTTCTGAGGAAAATACTTCCAATATCCAATTTAAGAAGAATTTGTTCCATATAGTTGAACAAAGGCTCTCCATATCATCAACTGTATAATTAAAGACAATTTATTGTGTTTAAGTCAAGAATTTTACAGAGTGAAGAAATTTAGGGAGATGAGGCATAGTTCAAATCCAACAAATTATGTTCTTCTAATGCATATTAAGAATCAATTTTCAACTTTACAACAATTCTACACCGTCCAAATCTCCCTCAACCTCAAAACCCCGCCTAAGAAAAAGGAAAAAACCCAGCTGCCAGAAGAACCAAAATCATTAAACAAAAAGGAAAATCAAGGCGGTTTTGAAATTACACTTACAGCTATTGCCCACCACCACTCTCCTCCTCCAGCTTCTTCACATACGCCTTCAACACCATCACCACTTCCCTCGCCGGCGCCTGTAAAGTCCCCACTAACCCAATCGCCGGCGACTGTAAAGCCCCCAACAGCTTGGCGTAAATCTCCGCTCTCGTTGGCATATTCTCCAGCTCCTTAAAATCACCCGGCTCGTAAAACTTGCCTTCGAAAACAGCACCGGTGAAGTCATTGTCCTCCAGCTTATTCTCCTTCTGGAAAGTCCTGTAGGGTTTGATTGCCGCCGGGATCTCCTCGCTGTGCACGAAGAGCCACGCATTCATACCCTTCATACACGGCTTTAGTGACTCCCATTGGGTTCCCTCAATAGCTTTGTAGACAAGCGTGTTCTTGGCGATTAACAGCTTGGAAGAATCGGGCAGCGATCTTCTCAGTTCTTGGAGTTGCTTGACTGTGAGTCCTTTGTACTTGATTGCTGCGAGAAGGAAGCAATCTTCGAGCTGGGCCTTGACAGTCTCGACTGTTTCTTCCTTCTTGGTGCGGGAAATGGCTGCTTTGATAGTGGGGAAGTGTGGGTGTCTGCGGGGATTTGGAGTGGTGGATTTGGTAGAGAAGGTGAGAGGGTTTGGAGGTTTTAGGGTTAGGGTTTGATGATGAGAGGGTGGAGGCTTGGAGGAAGGGAAGGAGGAGAGGAGGGTAGCTTTCATTGCTGAATTCTTTCTCTTTGGCTTTGAGGGATGGAGAGGTTCCGATGAAAGAAGATAATTGGCTTATTTCATTCGAATTGTCTTTTTATTTATTTATTTAAAAAATAGCTTCTTTTTTTTTTTTTTTTTTTTCCTTTATATTTCAGAAGTTTTTTAAGAGAAAATCCCCCTAATTTTCAAAGATAAGAGGAAAACAAGACTTCTTCTGTTTTTTTTTTTTTTTGAAAAAAAAAAAGAAAAAATTCTTCTATTTTTTAATATAAAAAAATAAAATAATCATATTCTGTTAATGATTAATATTTTATTTTTAAATATTTTAAATGATAAATAAATATATTTTAAATATTAATAATAAATATTATGAAACAATGAGAAAAATTAATAAAATCGTTAACAGAAACAAATTGTATAATATTTTGTAGACTAAAATATTTATATCTGATTTAAGAAAATAAATTTTCTATAATAGACTAGACCAAAAGATTTGCCCTTAAGAAAACCGTCATACATGATATATGAAATTATATTTTTTTCTCTTTCTTTTAATAAAAACTTACCTTACATTCCTCATTATTTCATTAAAAGTATATATATATATATGTATATTCGTTTTTTAGTTCGCCTAAATACCATAATTTTTTTCTTTATTTGGATTAAATAAATTCTAATAATCATGGTTTTTTAGCTTGATATTTGGTACCTTCATCAATACTCATAAGGATGTCGATTCAAAGAGGTTTATATTTTATTATGAAACTAATTGTATTATTATTAGTGTGTAAATTATGTTTTAGTCCAAGTAATGTCGATATTAATACAAAAAATTTCATTTTGCTAACTAATATATGTAAATTCATATAAAATAAAAATTCAAAACGAGTTCTTATTAACTATAATTTTATTTCTTTAGATCGTCATACACCAAAAATTAAATGAACTAAAAATTATTTAGAACAAGAAAATGAATATCTTTCACTTAATTTTCATTAAATTTCTTATTTTTAATCACTGAATTTATTAAAACGGAAGACTATCTTGAAAGTTAATGTCTGAATAAACAATTATGATGCTAACAATATTTTGATGCCTATACTTCTTAAAGCTTCAAACTCAACTATAAAACTCCATGTAAATTCTTGATATTAGAGGTTAAGTACTTTCACTGCCAGAGTTGTTCATTCATGATCAAAGATTCTTTTATATACAAATTTAAACTATATAAGTTGTTGGAAATGTTTGTGCATTGACTTTGACTACATTTGCAGTTGATTGATAAAAGTACATGTATTTTTCCTCCAAATTTAGTATGTAGTGAGAGGATCCCGAGCCACCCCGGTATGACCCTGCTCTTCACCAGTACCACCCGGCACCACCACAGTATGATCCGGTGACTCAGCCACAGTACCACCCGGCACCACCATAGTACAATCCGGTGCCCCCACCGTATCATCAAGTACCACCACAGGGCCATCCAGTCAATCCTCAATACAATCCAATCCCTCATTCACAGGACCCAACTCCTCCAATGATTGACCCAGGCTACATAGAAAGGTATAAAAGACTAAATCTATTTACTTTTGCAGGGGGATTCTCCTTTGAAAGGGCCGAGTACTGGTTAGCTGAAACAGAGAAGACCTTCAAGACCCTTGGGGTGATTCCCGAACAGAAAGTCATCCTTACTACCCACAATGTTAGTGGAAGAAGTAGACTGCTGGTGGCAACTCAAGCATGCCACCTTGCCCGTTATTGTCACTTAGTAACAGTTCCTGATGGCCTTTCATGCAAATTACCTTCCAAAGCATCTTTAACATCTGAAGGATATAGATTTTGCATACTTGGTCTAGGAGAACATAAATGTATCAGAATATACTCGCAAGTTCCTAGAGTCGGGTCGATATTCCCCTGAGAGCATGATGGATGAACGCAGGACGCTAGAAAGTTCGGGTAGGGTCTTCGTCCTGAGATCAGACAGTAGTTGTTTGTGCTCGAACTCAGTACTTATTCGACTGTTCTGGCCAAGACACAGTTAG